ATATATTTTAAAATGTAATTTATTCCTGTGATTTCAAAGCTGAATTTTTTGCATCATTACTCCAGTCACGTGATTCTTCAGAAATCATTCTAATATTCTGATTTGCTGCTCAAAAACATTTATTATTATTATTATTATTAATATATTGAAAACAGTAGAATTTTTTCAGATTTCTTTGATGAATAGAAAGTTCAGAAGAACAGCATTTATCTGAAATAGAAAAATTTGTATGCTTTTTGTTTTGTTTATAGAAAATCTTACTGGCTTTCTGCAAGGGAAGAGCCCCTTCAATTTACCCAGTACATTAAACTGAAACAAGACTCCAATAATGTTGTTTTATTAATAACCTGATTCCTTTTTCTTGGAATAGGGTGAATATGTCAGAGTACAGTTAATCTGAGTTTATAATCCAGATGGTAGGGTGGACAGAGGGCAGTTCGTTTGTTCAAAATCCTTCATCAGTTAATTAAAGACCTGGGGCTTTTGACTGAGCAATTAGCCTGGATATTACAGTGCAGGTTTAACGAAGTGAATAGCAGAGGTGTGTGAGTATATGCCAGATACACGCAGCTGGTATGTCTGTAAGTAATCACACAGCAGGGATCATTTAAAAGAGCAGGACACCAAACCACGTACACAGCTCACGCACATCTGAAAGCTGAGGGCAAACATTCCAGAGCTGTGTAAACCTCTGGGCCGAGTGACGTCCTAATGCAGCTCTGCCCACGTCACTGATGCCGTGGAGTTGCATCAGCTGTCTTACTGGTCTCGCTGTGTTAAGGGGGTGCTAGATTTTACTTTCTACATCTCTTTTTTCTCATCTTTCTTTCAGTCTCACTTCATCTCATTTTGTCTTTCAGTTCACTTTTGTAAATACGATTCTGTGGTTTATGGAGACAAAGAGATGATTACTCTCACGATGTTTGGGTTATTTTAGGACTGCTTACTGCCTGTGTTATTAGTAAACTTACAGTAGGTGCACAACTTACTTTTCTAATCAAAAACATTAGTGATCAAATAATAAAATAATTATTATAAAAAATTTATACTTTAAGTATAAGTTATACTTTTATTCAGCAAGGACTTGATCAAAAGTGGCAATAAAAGACATGTATGATGTTTCAAAAGAGTTAAAATAAATGTTTTGTTTTTTTTAAACTTTCTATTCATCAAGGAATCTTGGTAAAAAAAAATCATATTTTCCACAAAAATTTTAAACAGCACAACAGTTTTCAACATTGATACTAACAGAGAATGTTTTTTTTGAGCAACAAATCAGCACATTATAATTAAATTATACATTATAATGTAACGTGACACTAAAGAGTAAGTGGAATAAGGAATACATTGCATTTGAAAATATATAAAAATAGGTAACAGTTATTTTTTTATGTATTTTTAAAGAAATAAATGGTCAGCATGAGAGTCTAAGAATGGATACTCTACAAGAGCCATATCTAAAGACCAGAATATCATAAGAGACTTGTGGGTAGGCTTTATTGAAATGGGCTAGTAAGCAAAGACCTATCATCCTTCCAGAACAGAGCGACTGCATAGCAACATCCTGACAACCGGCCACAATAATCTTACATTTTCTTCTGATAATATTAAATTGTAATCCCTCTTGCTCTAAATCTCTTTTTTTCCACCTCTTTCTCTAATTCATTCCTAGTCACACTCAAATTTTCGCTGCCGTTGAATCCCATGACAGAGAGGGATGAACCAGTCTTAATAACAGTAATTTATGGACACTTAGGGTGTTTTTAATGAACATCGATGTGTCGCTGCAGCACTTCTAATAAGTGCTTTTCACAGACACAGAGCTAAATCAGTTCCTGACAACACCACATCACGTCACGACAAATGCAGCGCTCATGCTTTTTTGCATGTGACTGTTTTAAGTCACGCAGACATAATGAGAACAGATGAGCATGTCCCAGCCTCTTTTTGAGAACGTTGGACATTGTTACGTCAGCAGGGAGGCGATGTTATTACTCTTTGGAATTGTGCGTCTGTACTAGCGAGTTTAGTCTCAATGCACAATTGAAAGCAGGCTGCGTGGAGTATTTAATCCATGAATAAACTTCTCATTATTCAAGAAACTTAAGCTATGACCCAGTTGGCAAAGCTGTTTCTTCCCCAGTGTGTTTAGGAGCTGGCAGACATCGGAGAAAACAAATTCTGTTTGTGTTTTTCAGACCCGGTTGAAAATCGTCACATGTTCCGGCGCAGAGTAAACGCAGCTGCTATTATGCATTTGAATATGCGACAATGGGACCTGTTGTGGTTAACTCAATTGACTCCGCCCAAAGCCTTGAACTCCTCCGGCCAATCACGTGTAACCATTTATCTGGTTAGACCAGTGTCTGTCTGATTAGCGCAGTGCATGAAGGACAGGCTGGTTCTCCATTCAACATCTTGGCACAGACCTCTGCCCCCATCATAGGTCCGCTTCCCATTTCATGAGGCATTCTCAAATTTAAGGTTCACTGTTTTTTTGAATTAGGGAGCCTGATGAATTACCTTTTCAGCCCTTCGAGTGCCCTGGCGAGTTTGAGCCGAGGAGGCCCCACTGGTATAATGACGCTTGGCACAATCACCCTTCTGTTCCTCCAACCCTGTTCCCAGGAAACCACACAGCATGCACAATTGCGTACCGTGCTTTGCTGCCCAACCACATTGCTCTTGGCGTGGCTGCGCAGCAAGCCGAGTAACGTGGCATCTCGCTGGATGAACCAGAGTTGATCTTCCCAGAGTTCACGCCGATTCGTTTTCTGCTCGATTATTAATTCACATTTGCGGGGCGTAGCGAGGGAGCAGGAGAATAAAAAGGGAGAACTTGAGGTTATGCCAGCCCAGAGTTTCAAGCATGAAGAGAGCATGACTGTTATGTTAAGCTTCTCCTAATTAAAAGTAAAGGAATGGGAAGAAAGCTGTAAAAAAAGCGAGTTGAATGGACAAAGAGGGCCAGAACTGGTTCTGAGCTGGTCATAGCTGGTTCTGCTGGCTTTCATGGCCTTCCTCAATGGGCCCGCTGGTTTGGAGTGTAGGTTCCCTCCCCTCCTCTTTCCCCATACTTCTGTTTATGCTTTGTAGCTAATGTGATACTAGGGCTCCGTCCTTTCAGACCAGGATTGGGAATACCAGGGGGCCAAATGGGAGCCTGGAGACGCATGTCAGCTTGTGCTTTCAGGACTCAGCACTCCAACAGGTCCATCATAAGCAGCCACAGGGAGTCAGGCACCAATGAAGGCAGGAAGAGACCACAAAAACAGCTATAGAGACATCAGGAGCCATATAGTGAAAGGAGGAAAGCGAGAACAACACCTCTCAGTAGAGTCAGGAAAGTGACGACTTATTCAGTTGTATGGTATCGGTGCAAAAGGTTACTGGTTGTTTTGCAAAGTTCATTTGGCAGTGGCAGAGGTTTGATGGAGCTGTTTTGTCATGCAAGAAGTAAGAAACACATGAGAGAAATGCAGAGAAGCCTGTCTGTCTGTCTATATATATATATATATATATACAGTGGTGTGAGAAAGTGTTTGCCCCCTTCCTGTTTTTTTTAATTTTTGCATATTTGTCACATTTAAACGATTCAGATCATCAAACTTGGTTTGCTGGAGTCCCAAAGCCTTAGAAATGGCTTTATAATCCTTTCCAGACTGATACATGTCAACTGTTTTGATTCTCATCTGTTCTTGAATTTCTTTAGATCGCGGCATAATGTGTTGCTATTTAAACGTGCTTCACTTTGTCAGACAGGTTCTATTTAAGTGATTTCTTGATTCAACAGGTCTGGCAGTAATCAGGCCTGCGTGTGGCTAGTGAAATTTAACGCAGCTTTCTAAAATAATGTTGTTAATTGCAGTTCTTTCATGATTTAACAGGAGGGGGCAATTAATTTTTCACGTAGAGCCACTTAGGTTTGGACAGCTTTTTTCACTTAATAAATGAAATCATCATTTCAAAACTGCATTTTGTATTTACTTGCATTATCTTTGTGTAATATTTAAATTAGTTTGATGATCTGAAACATTAAAGTGTGACAAACATGCAAAAAAAAAAGGAAGGGGGCCAACACTTTTTCACACCACTGTATATATATACAGAAAGAGTTCCCCCTTTTTATATGTATAGGCCTTAATTTTTGTTTAAAAAACTCTTATTACAGTTATATAAATGTATTTATATAGTAAAATCGTTTTTAAATGTATTATTTATTTTTTTATTTTAACACCACGTCACGCCAGATGCCAGGTGTCAAAAAGTGTTTGTTGCAAATCCATTTGTCCTTTATGCCAGAAGTGTTAAGCCCTAAATACACTGCACAATTTTCGGCTGTCCCAGACAAAAGATTGGCATCGTGAAACAATCGTGGCGATTTCTGTGATCGTGGCTCCTAATCGGTGGTCCTCTGTCGTACAGTGAGAGAGGTTCAAAGATGGCCGTTGTCACGGTCTCATGACCAAAGATAGCCTACGATACAGCATGATCATTGCACAGTGTGTTTGCTGGTACGATCCACGTTTACTGACCAACCAATAAAAATGCGACATGAAATCAACGCGACATGGCGCTAAAACATAAAACTGCTTACCTCAAGCTCTTATCCCTTCCTCTTTCACCGCTTTTTTTTCAGCACACATAAAAATACAACTGCTAAAGTGTGATTTATCATGCTCTTTTTGTTTACCACTAGCGCATGCTGATGACGTTTTATTCTACTATAGTAACGTGCTTCGTATCGTATGTGTATTTAACTAACTTGAAAAATTATCTTCAAACTCTTCAAATTTCAGAAAGCAACAATCTGAAATTGAACTTGTGTAGATGTTCATGTACCTACGTAGAGTGTGTTTCAGGCATTGAGGTTCACATCATATCCTATTTCAAGGTCTTACATAATACTTCACTGCTCCATTTTACACAGATGAACATATCACGTGTCCTTTAAACAAGCTGGGGTTAATATGCACTGTTTTTGCATCCTTTTCTTATAGGGAAACAAGGGACAGACACAAAGTTTCTCTATAGATCTTCCTCTCTCACACACGCACACTTGAAGACCGAGAATAATCGCTCTGAAAGCATGGAGCCCGACGAGATGAACACTATCCCCAACGGGAAGGGGCATGGAGCTGGCGAGGAGACTACTGTGACTGCAATAAAAAGCCAATCAGAAGATGCAGCTCAGTAAGTATTCGCTCAAGGGTGCAATATAATTTCTGTCTGGTTAAGGATGGTTTATTGTCAGTCATCCAATGTGTATAGATTTAGTAATACAGTTTCATTTGGTATAAGCTTTATCATTGAATCTATCCTTCAGTCTATCTTAGGGGTGCCTTAAGCTTTATATACGTTTAGTGCATATATACAGTATGTGTGAACATTAGTTTGTGTTTTTGCAGTATCTTCCAGCTAGCATTAAAGCATCCAGTCAGTCATCTTAATAAGGTGAAGCCTGTCTGTCATCACAGTCCTAAATGTCACTGAACAGCACAGTTCAGACATCACTGAGCACATTCAGTAACACTGATGTTATGCTCTCATGTTCAAAGCTCCAACATGTTTTTGTGCAAATTAATGTGTATGGGTGTTTCTTCAACTACAGGAACCTTTTATGTGACAACAATAGATTTTTGATTACAACTAACTTTGTTCTTTTGGTTATTTAAAGGGTTAGTTCACCCAAAAATGAAAATTCTGTCAATAATGACCCTCATGGCGTTCCAAACCTGTAAGACCCTCGTTCATCTTCGGAACACAAATGAAGATATTTTTGATGAAATCCGAGAGCTCTCTAACTCTGCATAGACAACATTGTGAACGTGTCAGTTGCGTTGCTGTTTATGCACAGCCAGAAAGCTCTTGGATTTCATAAAGAATATCTTAATTTGTGTTCTGAAGATGAACGAAGGTCTTACGGGTTTGAAACGACATGAGGGTGAGTAATTAATGAAATAATTTTCATTTTTGGGCGAAGTGTCCCTTTAAGGTCACATTAAAATACTAATGCCTTTAATATATAGATTTAATTGTTTTACCCTTTTCTCAGACCCAGACAATCAATCTGTCAATATGAAAATCATCATAAAAACATTATCTGTAATTAACTGTTTAAAACTTTGATGATCTACACATTGAATGAACTTATTTCAACATCTATTTTGTTAAAATAATTTCTTTAAACATTTAATTACATTTAAATTCTATTTTTACACAAATTAATACAGTCCCACAATTCTGCCATCATTTCTATTAGAGTACAACGAAAATGTTTCAACTAATAGTTTTTTAAAATTTAATGTACTTCTTCACAAAGAAGACAACAGTGAAGATCAGGCTTGAGATGGTAAACCAATAACTTCAGGGTATAGGCTACATCAAGGTAAAAACTGGGAAAAGATTGAGCTGTAATTGTGTCAGATTGTGCAAAACATGTGACAGTATCATTCAATTGTGTGTATTTAAGATACTTAGAATGCTGGCTGCGTAATTTGAATGCTCCTGTGATGTGTGTTGCTAGTAGGAAATATACTGTATATATATATATATATATTATTGAGCAAAAAAAGCAAAAATTGTCTTTTAAGGTAATTATTTTTTCTTTGCAAGACTTAAAAGTGCCCATAGTTGAAGAAACACCTATATGTTCTTTTATATGCAAAACAAAATCACCCTGCATGTAGAAGTACCACTCGCCTTCACAAAAGCAAATGAAATGTTTCTAGACATCACTTTCTCCTGATTGGTGCCACATGCCTTCAGTAGTGTGTTTATCTATGGGTGTGTTCATCATGATTTCCCTGTCTCTTGTGCTTTCGTGGATGCGGCTCCAACACTGCTCTGTAGGGAACTTGTTCCAAATAGCACTGAAAATGCCAGGTATGTCATGCAGAGAGCAGAATCATTAGCAAACAAAACAGTACTTCTCTGCAGCTGCACATCATGCACCTGTAAATAAAGCAAAGCACTCACCGTAAATCAGTTTTTTGGTGGCGTTAACCCTTTAGTAAGTTATCTGTGATGCACTGCCAGTCAATCCCTCATGGGTGTTATGTGTGTCTTTAGTACTGACAGAACTCCAGGTAATGCAGAGGCAAATCTGGCAGAAAGCTCAGAGTTCCTGTCCAACGCAGATGACAAGAAAACCCCTCACTTCACGGATGTAAGTTGAGCTTTTGGTAAGATTTCATGTATGTCAGTTTGTGACAGTGGCAGAATCATAATATTTTTCAAATGTGAATGTGTGAACTCTGTTTTTCTTTTTAGTTTGAGGGAAAGACTTCTTTTGGGATGTCTGTCTTCAACTTGGGAAACGCCATCATGGGAAGTGGAATTCTGGGTTTAGCATATGCAATGGCTAACACGGGCATTGTCCTCTTTGTGTAAGTTACAGTTTTAGGTCAAACTCTATGCAATCAGATTGTAGGAAATTTGGAGAATATTGTTGTTGAAATTTGTTGAAATTGTAGGCTTAATGGAGAAAAGATAGTCCACTTTGAGTTAGAATTAATGAAACCATTATGCATTTGATAGCATCCTAAACCACTCTGTGGGGAAACATTAGAGCAAGAATTGATATTGTTTTACTGCTGATCAAACATGAAATTTTTATATTTTATTGAGAATGAAAGCCATTGTCCTTCTTGCTGAATATGTATCATATTGAGTTTATTGTGGTGTGTATTAATATGCAATTAATCATGCTGTTAAACCAGTATAATTGATGATATTAATGAATGCTTGTGAAATACTTGATTTAACTTGCACAACCTTTAAAGGATTAGTTCTCTTCCAGAATAAAAACTTTCTGATAATTTACTCACCCCCATGTTATCCAAGATGCTCATGTCCTTCTTTCTTCAGTCGAAAAGAAATTAAGGTTTTTGAGGAAAAAGTTGTTTCAGCATTTTGTTTCGTATAGTGGACTTCAATGGCAGCCAACGGGTTGAAGGTCCAAATTACAGTTGTAATACAGATTCAAAGAGCACTACACGATCCAAGCCGAGGAATAAGTGTCTTGTCTAGTGAAACAATCGATCATTTTCTAAAAAATTTTTTAAAACTTTTTAAACGCAAATGCTTGTTTTGCACTAGCTCTGTAATGCGCGTCCACGACTTCATGCATTACGTAATCACATTGGAAAAGTCACACGCGGCTAGTTCTTTGTCTGTGTACTTCGGTTCAAAAAGGTAGAGTAGGGCGAAAAACATCAGCTCATTTTCTCCTCCAACTTCAAAATTGTCCGATATCCTTGTTTTTCCTTTTTTTGTAAAGGCTGTTTGACTTTCTTCTTTGAAAGTACTAGCTCGGTACGTCCGCCTACGTCACGTGTGCCTGATTACGTAATGCGTGAGGTCGAGCTATTGCAAGATGAGGATTTGTGGTTAAAAGTATATACATTTTAATAATTTTTTTGAAAATTACCAATCGTTTCGCTTGATCAGACCCTTATTTCTCAGCTGGGAAGAGCCATTTCAAGCTGCACTGAAACTGCAATTTGGACCTTCAACCCGTTGATCCCCATTGAAGTCCATTATATGGAGAAAATCCTACAATGTTTTCCTCAAAAATCATACCATCTTGGATGACATGGGAGTGAGTAAATTATTAAGAAATTTTTATTCTGGAAGTGAACTATTCCTTTAATAAGGAGATTCTGGACCCCTACTTTTTGACTCTTCAACGTTTTTATTTTTATTTTTTCTTGAAAGAAAGAAAGAAAGAAATTAATACAATTATTCAGCAAAATTTATTACAATGTCACAGCTTCCCTACAGTTTGTTATGATCTGTGTTAATTCCCGTTCTGTGAACTGGTCCTCCTGCTGTATTAATCCTCTAGTAAAGCAGCCTTTATTAGAAAAGTCAGATTGCCAGAGAGATTTGTTTCCTGACTGACCTTCAATAGAGCTGAGTGGGCTGTACCAGGACTCTCACTTTCCACTGGGGCTCCATGTTCACGCCAGGCACACCATATTACTTTTGTTAACAAAGGGTCTGTCGTCTACAGTAGTTATGATCTAATGATCTGTGCTACTTAACGTGGGCTCTCTGCTGTGATCATGAAGATTAGGTTGTACATGCTTTATGAAAACCAGTCAGGCCTTTTAATCTGGGTTGAGCAATGTACAGAGGATTTTTTATTTTTCTTTCTGAGAGGGCTTTGGGTTTGAGCTGTTTGGCGTGACTGGGGTTCTGCGATATCTGGCACACTTGAACTTTCCGTACTCCCGATTCTCTACATGTGGTACCTGTCTGATCTGAGAGCAGTGTTTCTCCAGTGCTGACTGTGGCTTCGGGCTACTCATAAATCAATCCCAGACACAATTTAATAATGCAGCTAATATTCCTTTCAATAATGGTGCAGCTCTTGGGAATGAATTCATAAGGTTTATGGGAGTTTCTTAGACCTTACTATGAGGACATCTTTGTGGAGCCTCTATGCTAGAATAAAAACATTTTCTTTGTGTTCATCTGTATGCTTTTATGGCTTTTATGATGAGCATTTTGTACTGTATATACTATCATACATTTTACATAGGAACATCTCTGCTGATTATTGTTGTATATGGTGTATATAGATGAAGATAGAGGAAAGATTCTGAAATGTTGATGTTGGGTTTTGTTGAGTTGTGGGTTTGACTTGTGTCACTTTGAATCTTGGCAGTGGTTCCCTAGAGGCGAGAGTGAATCCACGACTCTGAGAAATACACAACATCACAAACAAGGATAACTTATGAATATCCAGTCATAAAATGTGTGGAGTTCCTATTCCTCTTTTCTTACAGGAGTGACATTAAATGGAGAGCAAACTGCTCACAGATTTCACATTTGCCTATTCTGGAGTTTAGGAATAGATATCAATTAAACTCCCATCAGATAGTTATCATCATATGTATTTATATATATTTGCTTCTATTTTTAAGAACTTTTAGGAGAAACATCTGGGACAATCGTATTGCCTAAATTAGCCTAAACATATCTGGGGACTCCATTGACTGGCTTTGAAAGAGCAGCTCTTTGTACAAGATAATGACAAACCAAAAAATCTTTGCTTTGAAATTCAGCTCCTATCTTTGGGATTTGGGATTGTTTTTTAAATGATTTTAAGCAAGTAATGGATCAAAAGTGACATTAAAGACTTTAATAATGTTACAAAAGATTTCATTAGGGGTTCAAGCATGTAGCGCTATTGTAATTGTTAGAATGATCAAGGATCAGCAATCTCCACGTAAAACTGATCGGGCAGGCCAAACTGTAAGACATAGAGACTTGAAACTTGGAGGGATGGAAGTACTCACACCGTCTACAACATGAAATCGCTCATAACTCCTAAACCAGGCTCATCAGACGCAGGCTCAAGTGTTTTATGTCGTTGGAATTCTTGGCTCACGCTGGACAAAACGCATGCCAGATTCGCTTTTGAGCCTGCCAAAAATTTCGGGTATTTTGGATTTTAAAAAAAAAAACTTCTTTTTTGAGCTAGTAGTCCTAGGTTTTTCACCCGATCGTAAACAAACCAGTGCAGAAAGCTTCTTTGGAAAGTGAATATCAATTATTAACAAAAACAAAAAAAAGTTGAAGTTTTGACCGTCGCAAAGGGACCAAACTTTTGAAAGGGGCAGGACCACTTTTACTAAAATGGCTATAACTTTTGAATGGAATGAGATATTGTTGCCAAACTCAGAACACTTAAGTAAGAGCTCAATCTGAGGTCACTTGAAAAAACAATTGTGGAGTTTGGCCACTTGGTGGTGCTATAAGAAGGAAAAAAAAAAACTAAAAATGGCTATAAATACGCAATCATTTGCAAATCATGTTCTATTCTATTCATCCAAGTAATTTAAGACTCAAGTAAGTTGAGTGTTCCAAATCAGTCACTTGTGAGATTTCATTTCAGTTAGGAAGCTTTCGAAGGCAGCAACTAGCTTTTGGAGCAGCTATAAATGCAAAATTAAGAACTTTTTGTCGGTGTCTTTTGGAGCTTAGATGATATTAAATATCTCATCACAATCAGCTGCTAAAGAAGATGATTAGATGCTGAACTGATCACATAGTGCACTGCCTTCATTCAAGCCAGCTGCCTCCATTTACACACTGCAGCTGGTGAACAAATCGCATGTTCTGTCTCCGATTTCTCAAAGCTTTTCAACCTCACAATGTTGCCTCCTCCAGTGTAATTTGTTATTAAACGTGAGCGATTAGCTGTACTAGTTGTGCTCCACTTATTTAAATATGAGTGGAATGTTAGTCAAGGCTAGAAGGATTTTTTTAATGCTGAATATCCGTTTCAGAGCTCATGTGAGTCAGGGCACTGCTGTTTCCAGCAGAACTGCACTCGTTGACTTCTCCTGCAGTTCGGCCACGTCATTTGGAAAAAAGAAGGAAAATGGAAGACGTGAGAAAGTGCGGAGTTGAAAATGAGTGCTTGGCAGAGGGTGGTTAGGCCTGGTCAGTATAGATGCCAAGACATTCTGGAACTAGGAAAAGGGACTAAACAGGACATTTGGATGGAGGAAAAAGAGTCAGTAGAGCATATTTTGGGTTCCCAGCTTGAGATGTTTATCCAGATGTTGGCAGCTGGAGGGTGCCTTTGAATTTATGTGCTATTTGTGATGTGCCTGTGATGATTACGATGTCTAGTATTTTTCCACCTTACTGAGCCTATAACCTCTTTTCAATTCTTAGAATTAGGCCTGTTATATATTTTTGTTTTATACTTTATGTATTAATTAATATAACCATAGCATGTTTAGATATACAATGAAATTTTTTAATTCTAAATTATTCAGTTATAAGTTCATGTAATTTTTTTGTATATATATACACACTACAATTCTGCATGAAAATATTCTGCTGATTTGCGAAAAATGGCCTAAAATTACCCAACTATTACCTAACAGTTTTTTTTTCTTCTCCCCATTAAAAAAAAAAAAAGCTTTTACAAATTATATTAATATAATACTTTTTTACCTTACAAATGGTTTTCAAAAGCAAAAATGTTACGAAACGCACATCATATTTTGGGAAAGTGTTGGATTTCATTCAGCAAGTATGATGTACTGTATACGGCAGTGCAATTATATTGATAGAAATTCCTTTTTTCATGATCACTTTTTCTGTAATTGTTGTAGATTTAATTTCTTGTTTTTAACCTAGAATATTACTTCGTGTCTTGAGTGGGATTATCCCGTGTGTTTTGATCCTACAAGCTTTCTATACTGTGCTTTTGAACCAAAGGCTGTTTTAAAGTACTCTATAAATATAACACATAGCCATACTCGGACTTGACAGTGACATTTGGTTCCAGTTGCAGTTAATTTGTCTTCTGTCTTTCAGAATTCTCCTCACTGTTATTGCTGGTCTGTCTGCATACTCCATTCACCTGCTGCTAAAATCTTCAGGCATTGTTGGTGAGTATTTCATTACATTGACCCGGTACCAGTTTAAAGCTCTCCTCTCTATAGTTAAGAATATAATTTGGATATGAAAACTGTTCCTGAACCTTTGCCCTGAACTAGATTGAAGAGCTGGTTTAGATGGAGGTGCTAACTGCTGTGACATTGCTCTCTCTGTTGGCTCAGTGACCATCTGCCTCACTCCTCTGTGAGAGATTTTAATTGGCCAGAATATTTCTGGTGTGCATTAGGCTAAAAATAGCCAAGCGTCCGCTGTGCTTGATCAATTGTGGCTGTCATTGTCAGTGCTATATAAACTATAAGCCCATGGTTACATTGTTTCCCCATACCCATGTTTACCACATGCTTACCCTTGAAAAACCATGATATTACTTACTGATAGTGGTTTTTAATAATGAATACATTTGAATGACTGTCAAATAAATGTTATAAAACAGAAATGTATTATTATTATTCACATAACCTTATTATTATTATGATTATTATTATTCACATCTTTTTCCTTTGTTGTCAGGCATTAGAGCTTATGAACAACTGGGCTTCCGAGCCTTTGGCACACCAGGCAAGATGGCTGCCGGCATTGCGATCACCCTGCAGAACATTGGAGGTGAGATTGTCAAACGTTACATCTCAGGAGACACAATGTATTGCTTTGTGACCTGTCAAGGGCACAGCACACGTATACACCTCTGCAGAGAGAGTGACTGGACTTGGATAGATAGCAATGCCATTTGTTTCTCATTTACATTCTAGGTCATCAGTTATTTTTAATTTATTCATTATGGTAACCTGTCCTCCCTGTTTCCTCAGGGTTGTACACAGGCTGTGTTCTATTTCACTACAAATAATCATAGTACAGTCTATCTGCTGATTATTATTGGAAATACAAATCATTTTCTTTAAAAAAGTTGAATTTTTATAGGTTATTCCAAGATTTTGGATAATTCGTTAATTATTATTATTAAATATAAAGTAATTAAATGAATCTCAGGCCTGTTGTGTAACATTATTTTTAAAGATGTATAACATGATTTTATTATTTTTTAAAAGCTGAACTGTGACTTAATCTACAGTGATGGAAAAAGACCCCGAGCTGGCATTTGGTACATGTTTATAAAAGCTAAAAATAGAACTGATTCTCTTCTTTACTGTGACATTTGCTTCCAGGATAATAACCACAATCCCCTGGAGTGGACGAATGCGTCCTGGATTAGGTTGTTTACTGTATATGTGAGTGCGTGTGTTTGAATCTCACAGCCGTCCTCTCTCTCTTTCTCCTCTCATAGCCATGTCCAGCTACTTGTACATAGTAAAGTATGAGTTTCCACTGGTTATCCAGGCTTTTCTGAAGGTGGACAATCCATCAGGGTGAGTGCACATGTCTGTGCGTGTTTAAAGTTGTGTTTTAGTTCTCAGAAATCAACAAATACATCTTGTTGTTTTTTTTGCCACATCAAGACTCTTTATTACCATGTGACCCGTTTCAAGCATGTTAGGGTATCAGCATACACAAAGACTTTCTAGAAAGACAAATAAAACATGAGATCTGTGTAATTTCCCTTATTTTTTCTACTAGATAATAGTGGTATTAATTGAAAAACAGATGAAGTCTCCTGCATCAAATGTTTCTCTTGAGAAAAAGACCCAGTTAATGTCTCATCTAAAGTCTCCGACTGTGTTTATGTGATAAAACGTCTTCAGTGCTAGAATTTTGTGAACTTTGATTTAAATGAAACACAAGTTTCTCTCCTATGGAGAGAAAAATGGTAAGAGACAGAACGCAGTGTGTGGGCATGTCTACACTAAAAGGCCAAAGGGGAAAAAGGTTGTTTGATTAGTCGAGTCTGTAAAAGCATCTCTTTAAATGGTTTCTTTCTTTTTGTCAAATGCCAGCCTTTCATTGTGGGCATGAGGGTGTTAACGCTAGCCACCACATCAGTTTGGCCCCTGGTAATGATTACTGCCAATTTGTGTATGTGTGAGAGCTGTGTTCTCTCAGATCAATAGGCCCCTGAGGATTTCTGAGTCATCCTCCGGCACTATTGTGTGAAAGTGTGTGTGTGTTAGAGAAGAACTATGATAGATGGACTAGATTTGATGAGAACAGGTTCGTATGCGTGTGAAGGTCAGATCTCCCCTGACTATAACACTCGGTTGCCCAGCCAAGGATATGTGTGTGTATGTGTGTGTGTGACGGTCCGTGACGCAAGCCGACTGCAGATGCGATGACTGGAGCTCGGCCTGACAGAAGGCCTGTGCGCACACTCTGGAGGACACCTCAAAAACTCCACGGAAACGACCTTTGGCTGCCTCATTTGAATTCCTCACCTCTCCAGGCAAGCGAGGAGGATCACGAAGCAGTAAACAGTGACTATTCATTTCAGTTTTAGCAGGCCCTTGAATCTACATGTGTGACAGTCTGTGTAAATGGTTCCTAACAATTATTTGTCAAATTTCGTTTATTGTCTTGATAACATTCACAACACTGTTCTGCGTAAAAGGTGAATATAAGCGAATATGCAAATTCACTCTTTGCCACAAGGTGGCACTTGTGGAACAGCAGAATTATTTAGCTGTTACATAAAGTAAACACTACCTTATTACAAGCATTATACGGAGGTAATATGAAAGGGAAATGCCATCAAAACTTTCCTGGCTGAAATGTGAGTTTACAGGTATGATTTAAACACCATAAATCACACAAAATATTAATAATTAATCATCAGTAGATCAAAACAACAGGACATGTTGGCATAAATGTGGGTTATTTGGTGATTGCTAACGGTGTTTTATTTTGAAACATGACGTGCTCGCGTTTAATTAGTTCAATCACAGCTGTATAAAGTTTAATCACATTTAAGCAATGGGGCAATTCCTATTTTTCCATCCCCAGATTTAAAATTGAGGCTTTGAAGCAGCACTATTTATGGAACACAGATGACACACAGATTACATCCAAGCAAGTTACTGAACTCTCACTGTATGACGTTACAGAACGTTGTCCGGTCCAGATTCTTTTCACAGCAGTGTTGTGTTTCTGATAATCTGCGTGTTGACATAAAGATACTCTCGTGCTGCGGTTATTTACTAGCGAATGCATTATACATTCCGCTTACAGTATATCGATGGAACACGTGGAACATACCAACTATACAAACTGTGTGGGGGGGACCTAAACTGAGCCATTCACTATATAGGCTACTATAACCAGGGCGTCGCAGAAAATGAGTGTGCGAGTTTGTTTACAGAACGCTGTTGCCACTGCTGCAAACTCCCATATAAATAATTATTCAAGATATATAATTTCCCTGCAGCCAGTGGGCCCCCTTTCCAGTGTAGGCCCCTGGGCTTCAGCCCCTTGAAGCCCATGCATTAATGCGCCCCGTGCACAACAATTCAAGATTCTTTGAAATGTTTTTGAATGAAGTCTCTTATGCTCATTGAGGCAAAAATACACTAAAAGCTGTAATATTCTGAAATGTTATTGCAGTTTATAATAACTCCTTTCTATTTCACTATATCTTAAAATGTAGTTTATTCCTGTCATGCAAAGCTGAATTTTCAGCATCATTACTCCAGGCTTCAGTATCACATGATCCTTCAGAAATCATTCTAATATGCTGATTTGCAGCTCAAAAAACATTTCTTATTATTATTATAAGTGTTGAACAGTTGTGCTGCTTACATTTTTTTTGTGGAAACCATGATACATTTTTTTCAGGATTTTTCGATGAATAGAAAATTAAAAAGAATAGCATTTATTTTAAATAAGTATTGTGTAAAATTTTAAATGTCTTTACTGCATTCCTACTGAATATATATATATATATATATATATATATATATATATATATAAACTGCTGACCCCAAACTTTTGACAGCTAGGATAAACCGTAAAAAGAAATATAAAGAATGTAAAAAAAAATTACATGATCAATAAGGCAATATATTTCAACTTTATTTTTGTAAATTATGAGCTTCAACTAGACATGTTTAGAAAAGTTTAAGTGAAATTTTTTGTTAGCAGTCTTTAACACCAATTTGGTCCTGATATGCAAATGATGGCAATGCAGATAAAAGACCGAAAGCTGTTCCATGTGTGAAAGTGGCTACTACTTTCTTTCCTGTCTTGCTATTTGGCAATTTGTGCACTGTATTTTAAGTCACTTTGGTAAGAAAGAGCGTGTAAATGTGGCCATTCATTCTGCACCCAGACATGTCCTCATCCAGACTAGACATGGAGGGGTGGGTTGCAGAACTGTTGAGAGGAAGTAACTCAGGCAAGTGTTGGCATGCCTTTCAATGGCTGACTCACACTCCTGCCCATGTGAAACTCCTGTGGCAGATAATGAACATCACACACATACAGATCCTGAGCTAACCAGTACCAGGGAGGAGCACCAGTGCTGCTGATCTTGTACCTGGTAGCGTTCACCTCACTGAGATCACAACATCTCCACTTCATAAAATCCACACTCCACTGAACATCTTTGGCTTGATAGAGTCGTTCTATTGTCTCATATCAAGCTGAATTTCCGGGCAGGGTACAGGCCGTTCCTAATAAATCTCTCTCTCTCTCTTTGTCGTTCAGAGCTTTTTTGAGAGATGCCATGTTTCTAGTCTTAATGGGGGCAGAATAACAAGATTAGCAGCTTTAGGACGAGTTAGAGAGGGAGAGGATTTCCTCTAAATTGGCCTGTGATTGAGCACAAGGGTTTGGGTCTAAATAGCTGCTCAGTCACACATCACGAAACATTTAAAGGGCACTGATCTCCAGTGTTGGGGGTAACTCCAAAATGTAAGTTACCCAATATTAACTTCTTGTTTATTTAACTGTTGTATACCAATCTGAACAAAATCACTCATGATTGTGCGATGTTAATGAAGTACATATTGTTTGATGTTCCACCAAAGACGTCATACAGATTTGAAACAAAATAAGCAAGTAAATTACACAATTTTTATTTTTTGGGTTAACTATCCCTTTAAATACGTTTCATTCAGTTGCCATGTGCTGCTTAATATTCAAATCACGAAGCAGTACTTTGCTATTTTGAAATTTCTCTCTGAATAAAAGGCTGAGAGCATGAAAATTAATATTTAATCTTGATACAGTTCCAATTAGCAGTTTATAAGTCTTCTAGTAAGCTGGGGGATTTTAGGATGTGCTCATGTTTTCCACCAGCAGGATCAGTGTGTGTGTGTGTGTGATGTTGTGTGAGTGTGTCTTGTATTTTTAGAGTGGGGTTGTGTTTGGTGCACCTCACTGACCTAGTTTTGAAGGGGAGCTTTAATCTTTGCACACGGCTCTCACTCTCTCTGTCCTCATGCTGGTGTGTGAGTGTGGCATTGGCTGTGCCACATCTTTGCGCTGGATTTATGAAACCGTCTAGTCTTAACACTATATTCCAGTCTGAATACGATAACATTGCCTCTCTCTTCTTCTCTCGATTCATCATCCCTGCTGTGATTGGAACGAGCACCAAATGAAAAGACACAATGGTGGCAGAGCCACCTCCGCTTACTCTCTCATCCAGCTGGTCATGTGACACTGATGAATGACATTATAAAGCAGTGATGTGTACCTTTCAGAATTAAAGGGGTCATGTCATGCTAAACCATCTCAAAAAGACCATCTTTTGAAACTAAGCAGTAAACATGACTCATCCTTGGATTTCTGACATCAGAAGACTAAATAAAGCAACAAATTACTACCTACATTTATAGCAATGCTATTAAAAGTATAAAATAATAGTCAGAAAAATCTACTTTTAAAAAAATAGAATAGCTTATTAAACCTTTAGACAAAATATTTTCCAAAAAATTTAATGTGTTTTTTTGTTCGAGATCATATTTGATACATCAGGCTTTTATGGCTCATAAAGTACGATACTGGAGAATATGGAGCTCAAACTCAAGGAGGAAAAATCTAACTAAAACACAAAATGCATATGAATATCAGTTCAATATACAGTCACTCTGTATCTCCCAATAATATGTTTTAGTAAGATGATATTTAAATGCTTAATTTTATGATCAAAGCTCTATATTTATTTATTGTGGTGCACAACATATAATGCAATTTAATACAATAATTATTAAGAAATGAACAGATAAATGTTCCTCAAAAGCCTGATGTATCATATTTGATACTCTCATTTTAACATGATTTAAAAAAAATTATGTATGGATAATCAAATTGCTTCAATCCATTAAGCGTTTATCTTGAAACATTACTAACAATATAAAATATATTCTTAAGTTTACTTTATAAAAATACGTTTTTACAGGAGACACATGCACCACAACCGAAATGGGATGTTTTTAGAATTATACTAAAAGGCCTTTAACTTGCTAAAAATGTAAACTTATCAGTCACACATCAGAAGGTATGTAGTAGATTATGCACAATAAGTTTTGATGTTGATGATTTAAATTCCTTAACTTGCCTATCAAATATAACAGGCTTTATATGATAAAAAAAATCATGTCCTGTTTGATTATAATGAGGGACAGAAATCAAGAAATTGTCATTAAAAAAAACCCAATGTGACTAACTATAAGTGGAACCTAAAGGGAAAAATGATTAAACGATGACATGAACTCATAAAAACTCATTGCAAGATCAGCACAACCTATGCAGGACTTGTTAATTATTCAATCTCTCATCTCCCTCCAGGTGATCTATAAGAAGTTCCAGGTGAAATGTCCTTTTGGTGACTTTGCCCATAACAGGACAGTGTTGGGCTTTAACACAAGTGTGGCTGCTGATCCCAGAGGAGTGGAGATGACCCCTGAGGGTGACCCTGCCTGCACCCCCCGCCTCTTTAACCTCAACTCGCAGGTATATCACTGTGTAACTGAAATCATGCTGCGACATTCGTATGAGTAGTGTAATATAAGACTTTAAGCCAAATCAAATGACAAACACTAGGGGTGCTCCGATTGATCAGCTACTGATCATTATCAGCCGATAATCACGTTGTGGTGATTGATCGGCGGTCTCTAAAATGCCGATCTCAAAAAAACGATCTCGATGCTGCACGCGGCACAGTTGACACAGGAATTGTCTCTTGCACAATCGAGGCAGTGTCACTAAAGTTTATACAAGTAAAGTTTTTGCATTACTTTTTCATTCTTGTTCATGCCGTGCGCTCATGCACACTCGCAGCACACACACATAATGCCAGGTTCACATTACTCTGTTTGCAGTGCGTATGTGGTGCGTATTTTTTCCGCGCTCATGTTAACGGATTAAAGCATTCACACTGCACACGGCAGTGCGTTCAGGAGCGGTGCGTCTGCAGCAATGCAGAGATTGTTTCCGCACTGAGTCTATTTTTGCTGTTATTCACACGCTGAATTAAAGTGACAGTGCATTGTTTGCAGTACATATGAAAACGAAAATGTAGCAATTGCCCCATAAATGCATATGAAGTATACTGTCTTTCACAGTCAACAGGTATGACTTGTTGGCTAGTTTTAAAGGAAAAGAGCACTTTTAGATAAACAAGGCAATAATAGATGGCACTTGTGGAGGTAGGAAAACAAAGTTCTTTAAGAACCGCATGATTGCTTGTAATAAAGATTTCAATGCAAAAGGAAAGTCAGTAGAGCTGACTATTTCTGTCAATGGTAAGTTTGTGATAACGTAAGAAAAGTAGTTTAAATGTTTTTGCCACTTGCTTGAGCAACTTAATATATAAATCTAGAAGTAAATGCAAAAGTAAAAAGCATTGAATAATGTGTTGCTTATATTTATTGTTTAAACATGTCTGTGAAAGATTGTATTACTGTACTGTGTAAAAAAAGAATTGCAATGCTGAAAAAGCATTTTCAGTGACAATGTTTGGATTTGAAATCAAAATAATGGAATGATATATTATAATGTTGTAATAAATGTTGTGTTTGTGGTAATCAGCCACGGATCAGTAGCGGACTCCTGTGTGAAAGCTGCTTCCCCTCTCACAAGAGTCACCTAAGAGGGGAATTACCCCCTTTTTCAAAAATGAAATTCGGGCCCTGAATAAATGTCTAAAAATCCTGATTGAAGTATCACTATAAATAGTTATAAATGATAAAAAGAAGAAAATCCTGATCGGAGCACCCCTAACAAACACTGTGGTTCGCAATAAGCCTTTGTATGACTCGCATATATTTGGGCTTAATCCAAACAGGCGTTTGGATATCAGTTCTCAAACTGTATGAAAATCTGGATTTTCAGCTTATGTAGTATATTCGCATTTATAAAGTACAGGTAGTCAGGAACCTTTAATGGACTGGTTTTAAATATTATTGCCAAGTGGTTAGCTAAATTGGAAAAATATGAGCCATTAGCCAAAGGGTGGTCATTTCTCACTACCTCTCTTTTGCTTTCTTATTGTAAGAAACAAAAATCATAAACATCTCCTTGAAGTGACAGTTCAGCCAAAAATAAATTTGTCATAATTTGCTCACCCACATGTCATTCCAAACCCATATGGCTTTCTTTTGTGTGTGTAATGTCTAATTTTAAACTTTTGTCTCATAAGAATTTTAAGAGAAACATCCGAGACATTGATACTTCGATAAAACATATACAGTTCAGAAGTTTGGGGCCAGTAAGATTTTTATAAAATGAATTATTATTTTTATTCAGCAAGGATGCATTAAATAGATCAAAATTTACACTAAAGGCATTTATAACATTACAGAGATTTCAATTTCAAATAAATGCTGGTTTTTTGAACTTTTTAATCAACAAAGAATAAAAAAAAAGATAATTTCCACAATATTAAGCAGCACGACTGTTTTTAACATAAGAGATGTTTCTCGAGCAACAAATCGGCATATTAGAATGATTTCTAAAGGATAATGTGACACTGAAGACCGGAATAATAATGCTGAAAATTCAGCTTTGTGTCACAGGAATAAATTACCATTTTAAAATATAATAAAACCAAAAACTGTTATTTTAAACTAATAACATTTCACATTATTATTGTTTTTACTGTATTTTAATCAAATTAATGCAGCCTTGGTGACCCAAAATCAGGAGAGAAAAAATCGTACCGATCCCAAACTTGAACAATATTGTAATTGAGAATTTCATTAAGTTTCTTGAGCTATAAAAGAACAAGCTCTGAGCCATAAAATACCTCCATTCATCGATCTATCTAGAACAATGGATCTTTTGTGTGTATAGTCTTAAGTCAGTATAAGCTTTTTAAGATGGGTTACCCAAACACATGAATATTTATTGTGGTCTATAGCCTATATTCCATTATTATTCATGTCTTTAGCATAATCACATCCTCTGCACATACATAAGTGTCAACTCACACATGACCATGTGCATTTTCCCCCACATATGTCCTTTACTGTCAGAGATGAGTGTGAAAGTCTGTAGTCAGCTCAGTCCGTCTCTTTGTGCACAGGACTGGCATTTTAAATGAGCCCAGGCCTGAGCTCTGTCCAAGTCTGACTTAATCACCGCTACATTTGGCTCTCTGTAATGTGCTACAGTGTTTAATGGGCTTTAAAGTGTGAGGTTTGGGGTTTATGGTTGCCGTTGTTGTATCCATCGTGACGTGGTCTGGTCTGTGTGCTTTTAGACGGCCTATGCGGTTCCCATCTTGGCGTTCGCATTCGTGTGCCACCCTGAGGTGCTGCCAATTTACACTGAGCTGCGCAAGTAGGTGGCAAGTTCTTTCGCAGGTCTAGAATCACACATGAGTCACGTTGTGCATATGGATGCTATTACACTGTGTGTGGCTACCCATCTGCTTCACTGTCCAGAGAGCTGTAGTTTAACCATTATGGAAGTAGCATATTTGCTCACAGGCATTCAAGGAACATTACGGCTTCAATGCAAGTTAAGCCCAACCAACAGTACCTGTGGCATGCTCTTTTAATAATTTTCTTTTAAAATGGCTTATCTGGATTACAGTGAGGCTCTTACAATGAAAGTAAATGGGGGCCGATCTGTAAACATTAAAATACTGACTTTTAAAAATACAGAGAACTTTCTTACCATTTCTGTTTAAAGTTAAGCTATTGTTCAAAAGTTTGGGGTCAGTAAGATTTTTTTTTTTTTTTTTTTAATGAATACTTTCAGCAAGGGTTAATTAAATTGATCAAGTGACAGTAAAGACTTTTAGGGACTTGTATCACTCTTTTAACGCATTTATTATGCAGCACAACTGTTTTCAACATTAATAATAATGATAATAAAGTTTCTTGTGCAGCAAATCAGTAATCAATATTTGATCACGGGACACTCAATATTGAAGTGATGATGCTGAAAATTCAGCTTTGCATCACAGGAATAAATTACATTTTAAAACCATAAACCGTTATTTTAAATTGTAATATTTCACAACAATATTGTTTTTACTGCATTTTGGTCAAATAAATCCAGCCTTGGTGAGCATAAGTGACTTATTTCAACAACATTAAAAGCGTTATAGACTCCAAACTTTTGAACAGTAGTGTATTTACAATTTTGCACACCCTAAGAACTTTACACCGCAACCTTAATTTTTGCTTTTATACAAGAAGAAACGAGCAACAAGCTGAAATAAATTTTTTTCTGGTAATCAGCATTACACCACAAAATGTGGAATATTCCTTTAAGTACATAAAATTGTTCAACATTCTCTTATAAACAGACTTTAAAATGCCAAAATGGGCAATTAGTATAAATATTTCTGCCTTATGGCTATATCAGAGATTGTTAGAGGAGACTGGAGTGTGTTAAACTGACTGATTTTGTGTTTGAGTGTGCGCTTGTCTATCACTATTTTATTTTTTTGTCCCATCCTTATATTCACTGATTTCAGCCCTACAAAGACGAAGATGCAACACATCTCCAACATCTCCATTGGAGTCATGTACATCATGTACCTCTTGGCTGCTCTGTTCGGGTATCTGACCTTCATTGGTGAGGCCTATTACCATCACTCCCTTTACTATATTTGCATTCTTTCTTCACGCATGCAGTGACAATTTTCTCAACAAAGATAGAACATAAGTACCATGATGACAGGAGTAAGTGACAATAAAAATATTAGTCGGATTGTAGTGGCATTTGTAATATTGACATATTAAGGTGTGGTCACTTACCATTGCTTGACGAAATTTAACAGACAATGACTGAATTTCGCTTCTGAAATTTGATCAGGCAACAGTAAATGTGCATGGGAGGCGTCATTATATGTCTTGAGTTAGCTTGCTAAGGCTTAAACTATAGAATCCATAAGAAAGTGTACAGGATGAGTAATTGTGTTGAAAAATACTTAGATGTAGCAGATAGGAAGGGAACACTATTTTAAACCAGATAGATTAGCTAAAAATGCATACAACTGTTTCCAAGTCTTCAAACGTTTCAGGTTTCATTTTGGTCAGGCTCTTGACTACATTGTAGGCCAAAGATAACATTCGGAGTCTGATTTAGGACTAGCTTGGATGGCTAATGCAGAATGAAACAAAGTCTAGGGCAAGACAGAAATGCTGTATGTTACAGAGCAAGAAGCAGCAGGGAATGGTAGTTGCCACAATTGCTGAAGGACATTTGGTCGTCCAGGACAACTCCTTGCCTTTTTACACATCAGGAGGAGACAGCAGTGTGACTCGGCTGAGATGGAGAGAGTGGAGGAGGTTTTGTTGAGGAGGAGGAGGTGAGACCTGTCAGGATGAATGTGCTGAGTGGTCACTCAAGTTGAGATGTCAGAGGCCAGCTGAGATCAGTGTGACTGCAGCGGTAAAGAGGCAGAAAGTTTTTTTTTCTTTTGTTTTAGATACAAGATTTCAATATTCACTCATGTTTCAGAGCTTTTGAAGCATAGGAACAGATTGAGACCCGCTCAGCTGTCAGCATGTGTTTGCTGATGTCACAGATCTAATCATGTTACAACAAATCACTGTTATAGGCGCAAGGCCACGTTGAAGTAGTACTAGCACTCCATCTAGTGGCCGTTGTGCATGAATAAAACAACATTACTGTGTGTGGAATAAGAGTAATCTGATGCAGTAGATCTCAAACTGGTCAATAAAAAATCAGTTGCTCAGTTAATTGATTTGCATACACTACCCTTGAAATATTTATTATTTGGTCTTTATGCTTTTTTAAATTTATTTTTTAAAATTACAATTTACAATAACCATTTTCTATTTTAATATATTTTCTTCATTTTGTTTGCACATTTTATTTAATTTTTTACCCTGACATTTCTTCATAATATGCACCCAATCATATTTTTAGAATACATTTCATTATGTATTTCATGTGCTTAATTTTAATACAAAACATGTTTAAAAGTCATGCACTTGAAAATAGCACAACACAAGAAAGAAAAAAAAACTATGAGCTGAAAAAACCCGTAATGTGCTGAAAAGTCTTTTTGTTTGCAAATTTAATTTGCTTTCATTTTGACCCAGACTTTTCTTCATAATATGCACCAATCATATTTTTAATACATATTTCATTGCGTATTTCATGTGCTCAAATGTTTAATTTTAATACAAAATGTGTTTAAATGTGCTTCATTTTAAAATCATGCACATGAGAATGGCACAATGCAAGCAAACAAAAAAAAATTTAATGTTCTGAAAATTTGCCTCGTTTTGTTTGCCAATTTCATTTTGACCCTTGATGTGCACACAATCATATTTTTTTTTTAGATTACATGTTTCATCACTTTGGCAACATTGTTAATAATCTTGCCTCTCTCCTTCTTTTATAGGCTGCTTGCTTCGCTTTATTAGGAGTCCTATTTATGATAATGAGCCTGAGCTTCATCATCATTGATTGGACATCAGGGACCAGCAAAGGAAGCAGTGGTCATTAGGCCTCACCCTCTAATGGTTTATGCTTTTTAATATTACTTTCGGGTCAGTAGTTGGGGAGGATGCATAATCTCTCAGTGATCAGTCACAAGAGTAGTACCAGATTCCTAGCTTTAGTTGCATTCAATGCATTATTTAGCCATGTGACCTGCATATGCTGTAAATGGGGTTTTGCCCCATCTCAGGCCGGCATTAAATCCATTTAAAGACCATCCGCTCAAAAAAAGGAGTGGTTGGGACATGGAAATAGGAAGAAGATAACCAGAACGAGAAAATAAATCAAAGCCCATGATAGTTAGATTGTGCCATAGCATCAGCACATGCAGTATGCAGGGTTTGCAAGCAAAAGGGATTTTGCATTCTAACCAAACAGACTCATCCGCTAGCCCAACCTCCCATCCATCCTGTCATATTATGACCTTTGACCTCTGCCCTTCGGCCACATTCACAAGAGATTAGAATCACAGTAAGTGCTCAGTTCTTATGGGAGGATTGGTGGCTATTAAAGCGTTTATTTCATCATATCTCATATTAGATATAGCAATACTCTGTGCAATAGCTGTGAGATATCTGACACTGAAGGCTGTTGAGAGGCGACACACGACCTCGTCCAGAATCCAGGCTTGATTTGGCCGCAGTCTATTACACAATTTCAAATTTATGCAAACTACGTATAGATGTACCCGTCACATTTTTATATGGATTTTAATATTACTTTCGGGTCAGTAGTTGGGGAGGATGCATAATCTCTCAGTGATCAGTCACAAGAGTAGTACCAGATTCCTAGCTTTAGTTGCATTCAATGCATTATTTAGCCATGTGACCTGCATATGCTGTAAATGGGGTTTTGCCCCATCTCAGGCCGGCATTAAATCCATTTAAAGACCATCCGCTCAAAAAAAGGAGTGGTTGGGACATGGAAATAGGGAGAAGATAACAGAACGAGAAAATAAATCAAAGCCCATGATAGTTAGATTGTGCCATAGCATCAGCACATGCAGTATGCAGGGTTTGCAAGCAAAAGGGATTTTGCATTCTAACCAAACAGACTCATCCGCTAGCCCAACCTCCCATCCATCCCGTCATATTATGACCTTTGACCTCTGCCCTTCGGCCACATTCACAAGAGATTAGAATCACAGTAAGTGCTCAGTTCTTATGGGAGGATTGGTGGCTATTAAAGCGTTTATTTCATCATATCTCATATTAGATATAGCAATACTCTGTACAATAGCTGTGAGATATCTGACACTGAAGGCTGTTGAGAGGCGACACACGACCTCGTCCAGAATCCAGGCTTGATTTGGCCGCAGTCTATTACACAATTTCAAATTTATGCAAACTACGTATAGATGTACCCGTCACATTTTTATATGGATTTATAACGTTTATCCTTTCTACGGTATTTAGAGAGAAATATATTAGTAGATATATGTGAGCATGAAAATATATATATATATATATACAAAAAAAAAAAGAGTATTCTGATTCATCCGGTGTTCTCAAGGTTGTCCATCACATCCCTTTACAATATTTGTGACTATTCAGCTAAAATGCCATATTTAGATTTAAAAAGACAGAATTAGTCAAGATGAAAGGCACATTCTTCTTTTTTTAGGAACTACTGGTTGCAATGGGAAAGCACAGATTGGAAAGCACAGTTAATCATAGGGTCAGTCTGTGATGATCCCATGACTTCTGCTGACAGACTGATTTTGAAACACTCTCTGGATTTATATGCAGAGAAAACCAAAAACACAGATTCACAGGGTCTTCTCCTTAACTGGAGAAACAAATGTGCTGCATTGATGCACATAAATGTTTTAGCTACAGGGCAAAAGTGTGTACATGTGGTAACATTGCCGGTGGAAGCTGATCGGTTTTGCTTCTAGATAGGCTTAAAAAAAGAGGCTATTAACCCAAGTAGACGGATGATTTTGGTCATTCGGCGAATATTGAAACCATAGCAATTTCAGTTGAAGCACAACTTCCGCTCAGTCTCTTGACCCAGTTACGACTTATGACATAATCATAGATTAATATATTTTGTAGACAGACATATGAATAAAAGCCTATGTACTACTAACTGTAAATTGTTTGAAGAAAAAAAAAGTAATGTGTGGATGTCTAACATGGTACATGAATATTTTAAACTTTGTAATTGAAACTTGTCATCCTAAAAAACTATAAATCAAGCATTTACTGGCCCATAATGATCTTAGTGGTAACACTGTGGTGTTTTAGTATGTGAATGTGTGTGTTCTCTCCTCTTCTTGCTTATGGAGAAAGAATACTTCAGTAAGTGAATGTACTGTAATGGACTATAAGATGTCTAAATGAGATGTGCATTTAAATTGTGGTACTTTTTTAAAATTTTTTTTCATTTTTGTCTGTTTAATTCATGTTTAATGGATAGACCAGCCACACATATAACTAAATCATCATATCGGTGAACCAGTATTTGCATAATTACATATCTCGATATCTTTTTTTCAGTGTTTTACATGTCCCTGGTGCTGCATCGAGGGCCTGTCAGACAGTAAAAAGGCACTGTAATATATTCCAAATTACAATCTGTACTTCCTTGTTTAAAAAAAAAAGTCTTGTTTATCATGGCTGGAGGCTTCATTTCCCTCTTTGTGGTCTTTTGGATATATATATATATATACACGTAGAGAAATGAGAAATTAATGATTAAATATGTCTGTTTATGATTGCTGAAGTGCATCACTGAAATAACCCAGTGTTAATTTTTTGGTAAAGAAGCGTTTAGTTGTGTGTTCTGGTGATGGCGAGATGTTATTTGTAGTGGTGTAATGCCTCACACACCAATGTGGTTTCTCAAGCACAAAAGTGTCCCATCATTTTAGCAGTGTGTGTTGATGTCCGTCCACATGCCTGAGAACTAAATGTGCCAGTTGTTAAAGAATTGCTAGTATCCGTCCTTAAATATACCAGTGGCTCTAAATGATTCTGGGTTGCTCAAAGTCTGAACGTGGTTTTGAAAGTAGAAGAGTGGTTCTCATGCAAACATGCCCAAGTTGCGTTTCACCCCAAAATCAGACAACAATAAATATATAATAACTATTTAATTATTTATATACTTGTATTTAGCTAGGATACATTAAATTGGCCAAAAGTGACAATTAAGACATGTTTTATAAATTCTATTTCAAATAAATGCTGGTCTTTTAGAACTATCAAAGAATGCTAGCAAAGAGCACAAAATCAGCATATTAGAATTATTTTTGAATGACTGATGAAAATGTAGCTTTGCCATCATGGGCATAAATTGCATTTTAAAATATATTAAAATAGAAAACTCTTTCCTGTATTTGTGATTAAAGCTGCAGTCCGTAACTTTTTTTTTTTTGTTCAAAATTTACAACATTTATATAATAAGCGAATACACCATGAATCCATTTTCCAAACAGTGTTTTTGGCTTGTCCTGAATCACTACAGCACACCTATAAT